TGACCGCCTCAAAGAATTCCAGGGAAATACTGAAGCATGACCAGCCCTTCCTGAATCCCATACTAGCTATTCTCAGTCAAGCTGTCTTTTTTTCTAATGTTTCCCCATCTGAACTTAGAAAACTGGAGCTCTCAGTTAAGTGCTTTCCAGTTTCCTAGCATAACTTTATTATTTTGTAAGCTGCAGAAAGCAAAGCTGTTAGGACTACTGAAACCTCTCCACCTCTATGCCCTTCTCAAAACAGGAATGCAAAAGTACCTACATTTTCAAAGTCCCAAAACATATGGATGTTTCATAAACCTCATTTCTGTTTTAGAAATGGAAAATTGAAGAAAAGTCATGTGCACAGAGACATGGCAAACTGGGAAAAGACAAGCCAAGATTTTATGGTCCCTGCCTCCTGTACCTCATTCATTCTCTATAATATCTCCCTACTGACTTTAGAAGCTGTCTTTAGTACAGTGTTGAAATTTTAACTAAACCTATCGTGACTATTTTTGCTCTGTTAAAAATGATTTAGGTGGAAATCATTTCACTGCTGGGCTCTGGTTACCCCAGCATACAGCTGATAATAATAATAATAAATTCCTAATGGTATTTAATGTATTGTTTTTGTTATCCAGCATGCTGTGGTTGTTTGATTGTTGTTTGACACATGCATGAGCAAGGAACCAAGTTTTTAATTTTATTGCTTAATTCTTACTTTATGTACTTATAATTCTCCCATAATAAAGTATGTTGCAATGAAGCTCATCTAATGTCCCTTAAAGTTGTGGCCCTGTCCAAGCAACTGTACACAAAGTATAAAAAGCTCACACTGTTTTGCATTAGAGACCAGCTACTATTTTGCATTAAAATCATGAAAAAGGGGCAATTTCATCAAGGACAAACTTGCTTGCGTTTGCTTGGAAACAAATCCCAAAGAGAAAAATAAAAAAGCACAAAGCTCTTGAAAACTAAACCCAAGGAAAACGTGTACAGAACACAGCCCTGAATTTTGATCATCCAACATGGTGATCACTTATATCAGCACCTAAATAAAACTACATGCATGAATTAATAACAATTTGAGTTAATTCAACCTCCTCTGTTCTCTTTGTTTTTGGCAGAAAATTAGTCTCACTTAAGGCTTCAAGTGCAGGACCACAGGCATCATGGAAAAGGAGGATTTCAAACACAGGCCTTTTTTCAGTGCTTAACTCAGGCCATACCTTGGCTGGCTGCTCTAGTCTTGTAGCATATCAGCCCTCCTGAATCCATACGATGAGAGCTTATGTATCTCTGTTCCGATTCCTCTTTGGTTCTGGCACCGAAAACATATCAACACCAACTGCCTTTGTGTGAATCTAGCCCTATTCTGCACGCAAACTGGTGCCAAAAAATAACGTATATACAAATCGGTTAGTGTCACCAGTGTCAACCAAAGGGGTCAGAACCTGGTTAGCCAAGGGATAGACGGATTAATTTAGCAGCTTAAAAAAGCAACTTAAACAAGTTTATTTAATCTTTAAAATTCAGGGAGCTTAAAACATTATTAAAACCGTATTAAATATTTTCAGCTCTCTCTAAGTGCTTTTTATTCTAATGTTGATGATGAAAAATTCCATATTCGTAAATTTGGATTTTGCAGTTGCTTTGACGGTTTGAAAGTTTAATTATAGGCTTGCTAAATTCAATTTATGGTACTAAAGTGTGAATTTGGGATTGTTCTTAATTTTCCCTGAAGTTTTCATTTTCTGGAAAAAGAAAGCCCTAACAAAAATGCATTTTCATTTGACAATTCATCAAACTCATTCATCTCATAGTGTCCAATAAGATAGAAATGATCACACAAAGTGTTAAAAATCCTTTTTTCTGATGAGTCTTTAGAGTTTTACACTTCCTTTCTGTAAGTTAGGACCTAATTCCAACAGTGTAAGGATCAGTCTACATCAATGAATTAAGATTAGTGAATCAAATTTGATAAATTTCTATGAGATTGCCATGCAATTGTTTAATTCATGGAGCTATCACTCATTTATGTCTCTTGGTATATTATTTCTCATGTTCAGATATGTGCTATGAAAACAGACTCATTCAGCTGTTTCTGCCAGTGTGGTTACACATGCTATGCAAGAAAGTAGTTCTTCCATTAAAATACACCCTGCTTCTTACCCATTCTGTAAATGCAATGGGAGTTAATTGCCAAAGTAACTCAAATCTCCTGAGATCAGTGGTCTACGGTATTGAGGCATCTCAAAACACAGAACTCCATCTTTTTACTCTGCCTTGGAGGTCTGTAACAATTGCCTAGATATATTTTGCTATTTGTTTTAGCTGCATTTTGTTTTTGTCACATTAGCTAACCTATGCCTTTTTTTTACCCAAAACATCACAACCCCTAATTAGATCACCACACCACTTGCTATCTTCTTATTTTGGCTCTTGAATAAATTGAATTTTAATATGTTTTTAATATTTTAATATGTTAATATGAATTTTAATATGTTATTTTCCTGATTGAACCAAGTTTATGCCAGTTAATCAAAAAACATGTTTCTGCTTAAAATATTTAATATTTTGTTTCAAAACATCATTTCATGTTCTTCACATCTTTATACAGATTCTCTTCATGAAATAGTGTCTCTCCTTTCTCCAGGCAAAGCTTTCTATCTGTTATTCACTTTAACAACTCAAAATATTACTTATCCTTTAAACGGTGGCTTATCTCTCCTCCATCTATCACTACCTATCCTTTTGCTAAAACGACAAGACATAAAATGGATACTACTGTTATATGGCTACTTCCATGCTAATTTCTTATACAGATACAGCCTGTCAGTTCTAGATGACTTTGGATCAGCCCCAAACAAAAGAAAATATTTTGGATGGTATAATCCTGCATGAAACAATATGTGAGCTGTATAAAAAGTCTTACTGAATCACAAGCACCTCTTTACACTCCTAGGAGATCTCCCATCCAAGCACTGCATGAATTAGAGTGATTTGTGCCTTTACATCTGTCATTCATTAATTCTTAAAAAATACAATATACAATAGTATTCAGCCTGAGGTTAGAGTCTACAGTGTCTTTGGAAAAAAGCAATTTGCTTGCTGAATATTCATTATAATTGTTTTCATACAAGAGATGCAGCCTGTTACTTCTATAACTCCTCAAACAAATTTTTCACCTTATGAAATACTGTATCTGTCATATAGGCTCATAAAGAAGGAAAGGTTAGAAATTTCATTTGTAGGGATAGTGAAAAAAAAAATACTGATTTTAAGACAAGAGATTTTGCTCCAACACCTTAAACTATCCTGCATTTTCCTTTGGGAGATAGGAAAATACAAACAAGCCTAACAGCAGGGGCTAGAAGTGACTTTTAGTTCTTCTGATACAATCGCTTTGGCACTCTATGATAAAGATGTCCAGTGAAAGCTGCCCTGTTTTCGAAATAATATTGATCATCTTTAACTCAATGCTAGTTACCAGTTTTCTTTAAACAAAGTTATTATTTAGAATCAGTGGTAGGCTACAGAGACAGCAAAGGATGTTTGATGTAGGGACCCAGTTTGAGGATCCGAGAGTCTTACATTCAGACTAAGCCAAGGAGCAGTTTGCATAAAACCAGTCACAGGGCATGCGTAATGCCTATTTCATCAAGGACTTGGTTAAATCTGTGGCAAGTACATGTAAGCGCAAAATACAGCACCTTTAGAAATGCCCTGTAGCAGAATTTTATTTTTCTACTGGAATCTCAGGTTTCCCTAGTGTCTCAGTAATCAGAGAAGGTTGGGTAGGGAACTATTTTTCACACTGCACATTAGGTACCTAAGAGCTTTTTCCCCAGTTAGCTCTTGCTGAGAAAACTTATGAAATAAATAAAAAGATAGGAGCGTGAGGTAAATGTGAAATCTATCAGCCACAACAGGCACTGGCCTTAACAAAGCATAGTCACTGTGTCGGTGCTTAGTAGGCACCAGACAGCAATTATTTTAAGGAAGGATGTGAGAAACAATGCTTCAAGTATTTTTATGAAGAACTCCTCCCATGCTCAAGGGTTTTTCAGGCTTTCAGCTATTACATCTGCAACTGAAGCTAACTGTGAAATTAGCAATTTATTTATCCCATGATACATACGTACCCATTTGCAGCACTAAAATCAAGTAAGAATCAATACACAAGTAAAAGTTAGAATCTTTTTTACTGGATTTTCACATATGAATCTAATTGAATGCTCACAAGATTCCCATATTCCCACTATTCATTGTTCTTGCTGATATCATTAAAACTGTTAATATACTGCTGTTCTTTCTAAACAACATATGTGGCATGTCAAACTCAAAGGAGAAGACATCTTCTAAGAAATTAACTCTTGCTGCCTACTTAGCAACAGATTAGATTAAACAAGATATAAAATTATTGTTCATCTTATCTGGAAAGCAAAATTGCTAAATATGAAATAATAGAAAGGGCATGTTAATAATGGCAGTACTAAACCCCTTGTTCTCTGTAACACATTCCCAAAACATTTAAATTTATCAAGCAAATCCAATGCATTAAATTACGCATTGTTCTGGTTTATATTTAGTCACCTCTTTAAACTAGAAAATTTTAATTTAGTAGTCTGTGAATGTGCACATGATACTAACAAAAGAGGAATCCGAGACATCAGAAGAAAATATATTTTTCTCCCTCATTCACCCAAAATTATTGGCTTTTAATCACTATCACTGTCTCTTAATGTTTTCATTTGAAATTCAAGGTAATAAATAGGTAAGAGTTCAGAACTGACAATTTCCAGTTTCACGCAGGATTGTAGAACGTGTTTTGACATTTTCTTGGCATAAGCAAAAGCAGTAATACCTGTAGAAAATCTAAAGCATGAGCTTTCTGAAAGCCTGGTGAGTGCCTGTTTCCTATCTTCTTGATGTCCTTAAAATTAAGATCTTTTAATCTGTGTATTATTTCAATTCAACTATTACTATCATATCTATAAAAGGAGAACCCAAGTTACCTGTATGGCTGTGAGGATATTGGCTAACGCCTGGCCATAAGTGTCATGACAGTGAACTGCAAGAGCATTCAGAGGAATTTCTTTCATAACAGCTTCCAACATCCTTTTCATACTTCCCGGAGTCCCCACACCAATTGTGTCTCCCAGAGATATTTCATAACAGCCCATACTGTACAGACGTTTAGACACCTGAGTAGACAAGAAACACAAAGAGGTCAAGGTGAAGAGTGAAACACACAGTTAAAAGGACACATGTACTGCTGTTAGTTGTAACCCTATAACACATAGGGTTTTGTCTCACTGAGGTGGACCTACTTTCAGAAATCCTCTATTTATTCTTAAAAATTGCCACTTAAACAGCATCCCAAAGACTCTCTTTTTGAAGTTTTTAGTTCTGTTTCCCTACATGGAATAACCAACCAAGCCAAATCCATCAACAACATGCTTTTCGACTCTCCCACAGAATCCAAACAGGCAAGATTTTATACGATGAATTAAGTTTCTGTCAAGCCCTTTCCCAACATTTTCCTTTCTTCGGGGATTTTCCAGCTGTTTGGTTTTCTTCATGTACTTTTCAGCTTACAAGTTGTACAGGATATAGACCTGCCCTTTTGCTTGCTTATTACATGGAGCCAAGCACTTGGCTGAACTAAGACAATAAATAATTAACTAGAAGCCTGATTTTGCTTTCTCTTGGCACTGAAAGCAACAATGAAAACTGAAGTTTTAACATACTCTAGCTAGCATCAATTTTGCTTGCTTTTCATAAAACCAAACATTAAAATACAAAAAAAAAGCAAAACTGTAAAAAGAATTAACATCATGTCCTTATGTCTTAAGATTTTTCCTAATACCAAAGAAAACCCTACACAAATGCTTCTTATGTCTATAAGTAGAACCCTAAATGTGCCTGGAATTATGCCTTTGAGTTTTTTTGTATGAATAAGGGATTTGAGGTCTGGCCCCGTAATGTCTGTGTGGAGAGAGATATATACCAGGAAGCACAAAATTATGTTTGCACTGAAAATATCACCTTAGAAATTGAATATAGAAACTTTCTATCTTAGCTTGTAGAATTTATTTGGAAAGGGTTTTAATTTATTTTCAGTTCCTGAGTATGTTTGTCCCCTTTAGCATCCCCCACTGTGTAATAACACTCCCAAAAGGAAACTCCACTGGCATGGAGTCCCAGTCTAGAAATCAACTGTTTAGAAATAACAAAAAAAAGAATCCTCTTTTTCCAGGACAACTTCAGTTGCCCTGTGCTTTGCTGTTAAAGCAACTCCAAGACTTCATTAGTAGGATTGCTGTGAATACGTCTGAGGAAGCTAACAAAGCACTGCACCAGCAGTCCCGGATGGATTAATATTGCTGTTCACTTAATTCAAAGAACAGCTGAAAAAGAACTTCAAGTAGTCTGAATTGCTCTGCTCAAAGCTTGCAAGTTCTGTGACTCTTGCAAATGTAGTAAAACTCTTTGTGCTTTAAAGTCAGAGTCCTGGATCCATACCATCATAAATTCGATATATCCTTAAGCACAGGACATTCACAGGATTTCATCTCGCAGCAAATTTTTATATCATCAACACAAGACAGCTGTTTAAGCTGGACCACAGCTATAAGAAAAAAAAAAATGGATCATCTGCAGTTAGATAACCCCCAATCTTTTGTCTAATATCTGCGTGAAAGCAGCAGACTATATTTTTAGGTGTTTGTTTTCTATATTTGATCCCAGGTACTTCTAGCTGGCTAGAAATCCTGTCAGATTCAGTTCTTTCATGTGCTCAGTCTGTGGGTCTTTCAGCTTTTGGAAAATCAAGCTCTGAAAGGTCTTGATAGAGAGTACTAACAAGGTGACTTGGTTAGCCATCACTGACTTTCCATGATCTAAACTTAAACTTAAAAAGCAAAGAGGTATATATTTAATTCCAAGAAAAATATGTATGTTTTAAAGTTGGATGGTAGCTTTTTGTATTGGATTTTCTATCCCGCTGTTCTTCTGTCAGTTCTAGCTTATCTTAAGAGAAGGCTTGCTTGCTTAGAGTTTTGTTAGTTTCCAGTATGGATTTTGGGGAGGAGGGCAAGGAAGAAGAGAACACATTGTTTTGTCAGTTTAATCAGAACTTCATGACGTAGCTTTGTTAACAGAAAAACGTTGTGCTCTGCATTCACTGCTCAACAACCTCACTGTGCACAAGTCTTGTACTGCTCATTGTGGGAGTACCGCTCTGATGCCAGGCACTGACTAAAATGTGAGGGGCTGATCCAGTAGGCGTTCCTTAAGCACGTGAACAATTCTACTGCTGGAAAGAAAATCTAAAATTACACTCTTAAATTGAATATAAACAGGTTGCATTCCAGTTACAGATTTTTTTTAAGTGAATAATGGCATAAATGCAAACTTGTGATATAAGGGAAACTTTGACATTATCTAAATAATATTGAAACAGAATACATACATTTTCTGTGGCCTGATCAGCATGGGGAAATTACCACATACTGGATAATATTTGTATGAATTCACTGATCTAGGTTAAAAGGGAACTAAGGTAAGAAAGATGCAAGCAAAGAGACAACAGCTCCATACAGAAACAGCCGAGTATATGCCTAGAAGACAATGGGTAACACAATTAGTTTCAAGGATGTTACCATGGGTTTCCAACAACTTTCAAGCCTTATTAACCTACCCTTAAAGATCACAAACTAACTGGAGGATTGTAAGTGGTTAAAAAGTGACTCCTTTTTAGAAAGCAGAGTTATAAAACAGGGTTATTCACTGGTTTATTTTACAGGATGAGAAGAACCAGATGGATGTCCTAGATTAATTCTACAAGTCTGAAGGCATCTCAAGTTTAGACCCATTAAATCCCTATGTGTAAAATGGTTACATATTTAGTAAGCCAGAAATACATGTAGTCTGGTTTGCAAACTACTTCTCTTAATTACTTTTGTTCCAGGTTTGGAAAAAAAAAAGGCTTGAAAAAAAATCTGCTCTCTGTGGCTGATCTTGGAAGAAACAGTATCAACCTAAGCTGTATTTGCTTTTGCAATGCAAAGTGTCATGGAAGTGACATGCTCCCATCCTCGAAAAGATGACCAGCAGGCAGCTCTCTGACAGAGTTAAGCAGCACAGACAGTAATTCTTATAATCCTGATTCAGCAAAGAATGAGTGCATGTGTTTATGCAAAACCCATTAACAGCTAATCAGATATTTCTAGATAAGCATCAATTCTTGTTGAATCAGGGCCTGCATTAATAACTTAATGAGGTACCTTTTAATATATTTTTAAGCACATACAGAATCATGAACAGATAGAAAAAAACTTACTGTGATGAACAGAGAAAACATAACAACTGTGTGAGTAAAAGGTTTGGAATACTCTCCCACTGTCACACTGAAAGGGAGCTCTTCTGTGCAAGGAGAGCAGTTAGTTTTAAAAAATGAGCAACACATGGAAAGAAGCCTGTTGGGGAACATGATATTGCAGTAAGCAATTTACCAACAGCACAGCTGAATCTGTCATCACTGCTGTAACTAAAGCTGTGTCACTTCTAAATTTCACTTCATACTAAAACCAATTAATTTAGAAACACTGAATACCTTCCAATTTAGCTATTTTTTCAAAGAGTGCAAATATATGTGGCTGCCGTGGGAGCAGCACTATCACAAATTCCATCTGGAATGTAAACTAGAAGATGTAGAAGTACAGGACCTGGAAGCCACACACACAGAACACAAGATATAAGACAAATATTGACTAGCTGCTACAGAACAACAACCAAAAAAAAGATTTGGAAATTCTGCTAAGGTTCCAAAAATAGGTAATTAAGTGTAAAAGGCACAAGAAGGGAAGAAAAATCTTCTCAAGGAGCAAAGTCAGCATGTCTTGCTGACTCTTGAATTCTCTCACTTTCATGTCCACTCTCAATTTTGCTCTCTGTCTTCCTGCAGAATATGACATCTGTATTTCACTCTCCTGCCTTTTTAGGGCCTCAACTCTGTCTCTGCTGGAGAGAAAGGATGGACAAAACATCTCCTTCCTTCTCTTTTATCTTACTTGGAAAAGGGCGCTGGGAGGGAAGGAGTATCATAGGAGTAGAGTAAGTAAGCAGCAGGAAATGACATTGTGCATGGGTTTTGATTCATGCCTTAATCACATGGTATTAGCACCTTATGTGCCAGAAACACAGTGTTTTAGTAGTGGCACTATGGATGGACAGTGTGCAATACGCTCACGGGAGCACAGAGCACATTTAACAGCACGTTCCATTCGCAGGAGGAGGTTGTGCTGGAAATCATCTCATGCAACATGGTCCACTGACATATGTACTTGAGTCTATTTCCTTAAATATTTCCTTGACATCTTGTTGAAGGAAATAGCAGATTTTTTCTCAAGGTTGATTATAATAAAAATCCATTATTTTCCTTAAACTTGACTGGATAGGTTGAAAAAAATAGTGAGGTTATACAACAAGTTTTAGAGTAAACTATGTTTGTGTTTGTTTCCCTTAAATTTTATTAATTAAAGACCTTTTTAAGATTAAGTAGAGAAAATAACTCAGGCAAATTTTAAAAGGCATATTTTTACCATTAGAAAGACAAGCTAGAAAGGCATTCTTACTTCTGCCACTTTAGTTGGTGTGATATTTCCTTCATAGGGGCATCCCAGCGCGCACGACACATACCTGCAATAAAAAGAACAGCACACTAAGATAGTTTTGTTTTATATAGACTTATCAATATTGGTTCACATGTTACATTCAAAAAAATATTACCTTAAGTATAACTTTGAATATTTAAGTAGATCATAGGGTAATTAAAATTGCATCAGATGAAAATAGCTGATTTCTCTTTTTTTAAATCACAGATCATAGTTTTACAGCATTATCTATGGACAATGTCTGTCACAAATTGTAAAGGACTGGTAATGCAGTCAAGTTAATGCTGCTGCAGGAAAATTCAATTTTCCTGGTATTTCCTTTTTAAATTTTAAGGGCCAGTGCAATTTTTTTTTTTTTGTCTGGCCCACACAAGATATTCAGAGGAGTAAGATATCGATTACCTCTTTGTGCCAGCTACCTGGACCATAGATAGCAACACAAGGACACAAGGAAGTTAGAACAACCCTTCTACCACATTAAATGGAATTGTGGTGAATGGCTCTAATCCTACACCACACAATTTCTCTGCTGGCCTTTCTATCCCAGTACTCCAAAAAAATGCTAATTCAATTGCTGGCTGCAGCTTAAGTATGGTTTTGGACAAGACAAAACTGAGAAACCAGCCTGTGTCTCTCAGCAGCTATCTGCTCCACAAAGCATTAAAAACGCCACCACTGAGCCTTCATTGTTCAGTCCTAACACTGTGTTAATGTAGAATTTGGTTTAAATTTCAATTTTTTAATGATAATTAAAAGCCATGAAATTCCAATTGAGCTTTTAATTGTTGATCTTAAATCGATTAGGAATAAGATTAACCTAGCCAGAAATAGGCTTTCAAAATCAAAACATGTCTGGCTGTACAGGGATTTACAACAGATTCAGAAGCAGACAGAACCCTAGTCCCAATGGGAGGCTGCTCAACAGCTTAAGCAGAAAACAAGAGCCTTCATTGATTCCCCATCATTCTGTTTCCACGAACAATGAAGGATAAAATGTTAAATTATACACTTTATAGTGCAAACTGGATTGATCTGAATGGATGCCAGTTTGTATATAGTCAAGATCCATAGGGTAAGGGATATATTATTTGCAGCCGAAGAAGAAATTGATAGAATGTGAAATCAGAGTGAGTAACAGGCAAAAACAAATTATGAAAAATTGGTCAGCATTTTACCATCTAGAGCATATTCCATTCCAATAGGTGAGTGAGAGTGTTACACAGTGGAACTAGCAGTAAGAAAGAACCTAAAAAGAATCTGAGTAGTCCTGATGAAGAAATTAATTTTGTTTCCACTAAAAGGGCTGGGTACATTACATCCTGCTCGTAATTCTAGTCCAGATTCCTACTGAGCATGATTTCAATTATTTGTATGTTATTATGAAAACCACATTCCCAAAACTTGGCAATAGACTTCATCAAATATGTGCCCTCCTTGACATTAAGATGTCACGATTTAAGTTTCAAATTTTTGAATTAGCTTATCTACACTAAAAAAAAGAGGTAGCTACTTTCAAAAGTAAAAACATTGCCTAGCTTCTCAGTGATATGTACTCAAAGACAGTTTAAGATAATTTCCATATATTTTACATGCATATGCACAGATTTTCAAATGAATCTAGGCATGAATATTCTCAGACCCAAAGGATTTTTATCATAATACTATGCTACCTAGGATTACAGAACACACAGACTTTTACTGGGATTATTTTGCAACGTAAGCCACAATGCTCATTATGAAGTGAGAAACAGTACTAAACACAAAGAAAGTAAATGCAAATGCTCCCTCTATTAGCCATATCTTACATGTTCCTAACAGCTACATATATATTATTATCAAAAAGACCTGCATTTGGTAGTGATAATGTGGCATGAATGACATCTGGAATGCGGTACAGCAAACCAAATAGGCCAAGGGGTATCCACAGAACAAGGAAATACTCCCTGTAGTTCACACCGGCTAGCTGAAAGCGATGACCTGAGGAATCTGCCTACTGCAGTGTACAAATCTGTTTGAGATTATGAGCTCTCTGCATGCTTATATCATCGTGCTTAGGCTAAAATTTTAAACAAAGAAAATATGGCAGACATAATCTATCTGGACACTGATATTCAGTATTAAACTTGAGATAAAGACTTATTAAAAGAACTAGACAAGTAAGGAACTTCCTAACAGACAGAAAATAAAGTCCTGTGGAGATTGAAGAAAAAAACTTTAATAAAGTTCATCAAGGATGAGTTTGGCACAATTTTTATTTCATCTTTTCATAAAATTAATTGGTGTAAAAAGTAGAAGCATGATGGTAATATTAAATTTAGTGGCATTGTACAAAAAAAGTACTGTGATTCTATGAAGAAGGGACAGGAGAAATAAAAGCGGGACTCAGTTCACGGAAATGATTAAGTGAAATGTCTAAAATGAGGCTTTAAAAGATTCAAATACATTCCATATATACATCAGGACAAGTATTTTCATTTGTACGTAACACTAGAACACTGAAATAAGAGATACAATTTGAGTCATTCATAGAAAAAGTAATACAAGCTGGAACTGATGCAGAAAAGGGCTGCTACAGCTAGCTGGGGTACGGAAAGCTTATCATATAAAAGTAGAAAATACAAGAAAATATGCAGATCTACATAAATGAGGGAATAATCAACTATCTGCTCTGAGCATTTGCCAAAACATCTAGACTCAAGGCAGCTCTGGGTGGAATGCTTTGTAATTGCACTTGTGCAGTTACAAATTAATAAGTTTCAGTGAGAGGAGATAGGTTGTGATAGAAAGGTAGATCTGCTATCTGTACCTTCATTTGGCAGATATATATTTTTTCTTTAGTGTTTGAAATAAGCCAAAAGGCATTAAAAGAGAAAAGAAACTAGCCAAGCAGAACCCCAAAACCACCACCTACGCCCGTTCAAAACTTCATTTGGAGACAACTCCACATACTGAGGGTATGCTTAGAAATAAGAAAATATCAAGGAGACAGAGCCACTTACGGCAACAGAGGACAAAAGTGTAAAGACAACCCTGGTCAACTGCAGCAAACACTACTGACAGGTCAAAAGAATGAGGATAGACTACTGTTTCTGAGATCTGGTCATCGGGGAGTTTGGTGAGAGCTGTTGCAGTTGCAAGCAAGGAACAGAAGCCAAAGTGTAGGAGTTATAAGAGGGAATCACAGAAGAGGGTCTCCAGACAGTAATTATAAACAGCGCCTTCAATGAGCTAAGGAATGAAGAAGAGATAGACGATGAGATATGAGATGAAGAACTGAGTGAGGTCAAAAGTGAAATTTTTAAGAGACAAATGCTTGCTTATATTGCAATGGAAAAGAGCCAGAGGATAGTGAGAGGTTAAGAAAGAGAATAAGGGAGGGAAGAAATAAGAGGGAGAGCAGAATGTGGGGTCACTGGGGTAAGTGGAAGGGGTACAGATGGAAAGTAGACAAGAAACTTCTGCTGCTCTGACAGTGGAGGAGAAGAAGGAGGAAGGATTATAGAAGGAGGGAGTACAGAAGGAAGATCAGATTATAGCTATTTTTCCTTAGGAAAAATGAGTAGGATCCTGTTTGAAGAAAAGAAGCAGAGGGAAAAAGAAAAAAGAGTTTGAGCAATCAGTTACAGAGGCAACTGGGATTCAATTTTGGGATTCAATTAAGCTGGAGAATACAGCTGTTTTCTAAAAAGATGGCAGGACTGAAAGAAAAAAAAAAGAATTTGTAATGAAAAAGGCTGTGCTGGTCTCAAGATATTCACCAGAGACACTCCACACTATTAGAGCAGAGGCAAATTTCTAAGAGTTCACAAAGCAGACTTTGCAATTGAAGTGCTTAATTCTAGTATGTGCTTAAATCTTCACTGAATCAAGGCCAGAAATTTTTGTAGCTTAACCATGTCTCTAGCATCGAGAAAAGAGCCCATGCAACCAGAGGTGAAAAGAGGGACCTGCAATATGTGAAGCTTGTGCTATAAAGCTGCTCTAAGAAAATACAGGTAGATGCTATACCTGTAATCAGGTTCTATAGTAAAAAAGTGATAAAGAGAAGCACTCTGCTTGTTTTGTTGGGCAGAGCTTTCCCAGACACTTGCCTGTTCTCCAGATTTCACTGCAGGTGAGTATCTTTTGGTAGACTCAAAAGTTGGTTTTTTTATGCTTATAGCAACAGTAACAACTTTACTGTACAATATTTTGGACAAAAGTGCTAAACAGTCTCTGGGGATGGGGAGGAGAAGGAAGAGGAAAGAAAGAGAGTTTTCAATATCTTTCAATAAGCCAAAACCAAATTGCAATGTTCCATAAATGTTATAGACAGTATACGGTCCCCACAATCAAGGTCACTAGCAATGGTGATAATCACCACACAAGCCCAATGACTGTGAAATGCAGGATAAAAAACCACGAACGGGGTAAATGAGCAAACTTTTCATAAGCAAAGTGTGTTAAAGCAAAATGAATCCAAGCAGAAACTGAACTCCGTGTTGTAATCAGCCCTTTGTCAGCTTGTTTCAGCAAGACTTCCAGAGCCAGATCCACAGCTGCTACCACAGCTGGAAGCATGGAGCCTCCTGAGAAGCCAGTTGCAGACTCAGATGCTGCTGTTTCCTGTTTATTATTATAGTGTAAGTTCGCATATAATTTACCATGTTCACTGCAGATGTATTTATTTTTATTGGATGTTCGTGCTAAAGTGTATACGCCGATCATTTCGTGAATTCATAATATTAAGGTTGATATATTCTGACTCTTCGCAGAGGAAGCCATTTGTTAGGAACAGGCAATCTTTACTGTAAGGAGAGAGAAAACGAAAGAAGAGGGGAGGGAAAGAAGATTCTTCCAGAAAAAGAATCTCCAAGCCAAGTCCTAAATGTGTAAGAAAGGCCAGCTTTTTTTTTTTCTCATTTTAATTTTAATTAAAAAAAAATCTTTTTACTTAGTACTTATTTCTAAACAACATATGTGCCATTCAAAGTGAAAGATTATGATAATAATATTCTCCATTACTTTTGAGTGCCTGGAAACACA